TATGTGTGCATATTGTCTGAATACTTGTTGTCTATGCCGATGAAAGATTTTATACATGTTTTAAATTATTTAAACTGTATATGTATTTTATATCTACGATAATGTTGGGGTAAAACATGGGTAGATGGAGTATGAGTTGGATGATGAGTTGAGGGGGTGAAATAGACCGTGAGGTGAGGATGAGAGGTGGACGATGTGAGAAGCCTTTCTCCCAAATGATGGCCTCGTCATTCAGCAGAGTATGGATGACAACCACGGACTATTCTAGGCAGTCCAGTGGAACACTAGCAGGATCACAACCTGTAGGTGTTGTGAACGATGTGTTCACCCGGTGTACTCTAAACCTTGGTGATCATCCAGACTTGATACCTAGACCCTGGCGATCATGCAGACTTGGTGCCAAAACCCTGGCGACTATGCAGACTTAGTGCCTATTGTATAAATTCTGGCGACTATGCAGACTTAGTGCCTAAACCCCGGTGACGATGGACTTCGTGCCGATTCCTTAGGATGATCCTTAGGAATGTATGAACGAGGAATATTTGATTCTTAGGGTAGATCCTTAATAATAAAATAGATAATGGGGATGGGTAATTGGGTTGATTGTTTGATTGTTTGAAAATAATAATTATATTATTGTGGGTTGAAAACCCTATGTACTCACCAGGTTTCCCAACCTGACCCACTCAGTTTATTTATATCACAGGTGTTGATACGAAGTCACTTTACACTGAGAGATTTAAAGAGATGTAGATCACTAGTGTAAATAAATGTAAGTTCTGTTTATGCTTATGTTTCTATATTAACGATGACATCCCAAACGTTTTGAAATGAATAAACTACGTTTCTTCGAAAATGTTTTAATAACTTATTTATCATGTTTTTCTGGGAACAAATTCCGCAAAATTTTTATTAAAAGAAATACTCTGATATTTATAAAGCATAAACAAAATCGGTCTTTTCTGGCTGTGAAAATGGGGATGTCACAGTTGGTATCATAGCATTAGTTTAAGCGAACTAGGAATATGGATTTATCTCTAGACTTAAACTTAGAATGCTAAGCAATGATTGTGAGGAGTGTGTTTAATAAAATTTAGGTAATACACCTGAATAGACACAAGCACTAGCTTATTTAGGGAAAATTCCTAACATGCTTTTATGTGCTAAATGATTTATGATATGCATTATATGATCGGATCTATGGTCTGTTGCCGACCGGATTTGGAAATTTTATGTGCTCAGGTTTCTAAACGTTTAATTACGATATTAGAACTGGCATGTAACTTTTTGGAGTAACAAGGGGGAATATGTGTCGAATTCTTCCTCTATCTATATTGTCATCTCGATAAACCAAACGCCTGCTTTGGAGAATAGAATGTCATGATAAGGACTCATAGAGAATTGAGTAAGTGGAGGAAATGAAAAGGCTTACGATAGTGAATGACACCTATCGGAAGATATCATAAGAGTGGTATCTTGCCTTTAGAATATGTCATGCAGTACGTTTAGAGGAGTACAGTACGTCCGAAGTACACCTTCGATTGGCAGGATGATGGAATGATTGGCGTAATTCATGAAGTTGACCCATCGTATGGTATTTCCACCGAGCTGAAGCAGAATTGATGATTGAAGATACGCATAGAAGAAGTCCTAGTAGAGTCTAGGGAAAATTTTGTGATTGTTTGGACACATTTTTATGTGTTAAAATTTTTTTTGTGATAATAACTTGGGAAAACTGCGAGACAATACTTGGGACGAGTATGAGTAGGTGTGAAAGGTAGTAGATGCATATACTACCGGAAGCACATGACTCACGCTTGGATCAGGGAAAGTCACAAGGTTACCAAGAAACTAGTAGTTGATTTCAATTTATTCAAGTGTGTTGTTACCATTGTTTCGGTAATGACTAAGACGATTGTTGATATTCCACCCTAGTGGTCATAATCGAATTGAGTCCACTACGATGAGTATGTTACGTGGTTCAGAGAACCAAGTTTGATGTAGCGTCCGACTTAAACCAAATGATTGAAATCAAAGCGATCAATAGAAGTATCGTGCTCGTTGTTAAAAGAAGATGGTTGCTAGAGATGCTACCTTTATAGATGTAACTAGAACATGAAGGAAGGTATAGACTGTTCTGGAATTTGACTCTAAAGAGACCTGAGTCTGAGCATTGCAACATACGATGAGAGGTCATTAGAATATGACACACGGTCCATTGTATTAATAAAAAGAACTTATCTTAAGTTCGTATCCAGTGAGGATCGAGATTGTGACTTGAAGGTCATAAT